TTCTTCAGCAGCCAGCTTCTCTCTTAACTGCTGAATGTTAGCATCAATGGCTGCCCCGGTCACTTCAGGTTTAACTTCTCCGTTCCTTGATGACTCCATGACTTCTTCCAACTGCTTGATAGCGAACTGGTCCAGTGCCTTTCGGCACTGGACTATCATTTTGGAGACTTCGGGCCCGGCTGCTGCAACTTCCACGCCCGTAATTGCTTTCTTCAGACAGTCCTCTACCGTCTCCAAGTCAAATAGATTACGGACGTGCTGTTCAGCGTCGGGTCCGGTCAGATGCAGATCGTTCAAGAGTTGGTCCATAGTGCTAGTAGTTCCTGCTTCTTCCGCTCCGCCTGTCTCAGCGTCCTTAGCTCGGAGGTTCCCTCACCCGAGAAGAACGTCATGGGGAAAAAAAGTAAGAGGATTTTCCACATGCCCAACATTTTGGAAGTCAAATTCAAGAAGATATTCGCAATGGTGAAACAGAAAAGTAAAAAGAAATAATAAAAAGAAACAGATTCTAATTTACTAACTGCTGTTCTTTACCTTGTCTATGTGATGACGTCCTATGCAATGTACAGGTACTACGTCAAGCCCGTGTGATCAGACACAGCACACAAGTAAGTACGCAAACACCACACACAGCAACAACAGGTAAGTATGCCAACAACAATCACAACAGTTTGTCAGCAAACTTCGTCAATTTTGCTGTGTCTTCTTGATGTCTGTGCGATCACGCACTCCCCTTGACAGCTGGCACTGCAGCTGTATAATCAGTCTTGTCAGCTGTACCGCCGTAGTCTGTGGAGTGCTCCTCTTACTTGGCAGTATCCTGCCTGCCACGCGTCATTCCCAGAATGCCAACATAGCCTATGTTGCCACGTCAGCACTTGCCTCTTTCAATGATGGAATGCCACGTCAACAAATGTGTAGCCTGATCCTCGCCACTTGCCTCTTTCAATCTTGTCATGAGGCAGCGTCGCCATTCCAGCCAGTCAAATCATGCCACGTCAGCCAGGCAGTCACCACCTTGTCAAGACAGGTGTGATTCCTGTTCCTGCCACGTTTGCAATCATCTCCGTGTCCTCCAGGCCACGTCAGCATCTGTAGTAGACTCTGCCACGTGTCAGGAGCACTTAGTGTGCCACATCCTCAATCGTTAGCAGAGTCTTCAACCGTGGCACAACATGTGCCACGTCAGCAGGGGATCGCGATGTTACGTCACTATCGCGGTCCAGGCTGGCGTGCGGTATCTCCAATCACAGCCCCGCCTTCCACGTCAGCAGCCTGGCAGGGAACTCTTCTTGCTAATGAAGTCTGTATCTCGTCAGCAGCCCCGGTAATGTCTTCTCGCCAGTGACTCGTTAACAACCCTGGCAGTGTATCCTCGCCAGAAAGGTATGTGCCACGTCATCACCCCCAGCGTATCCCTTGCCACGTCATCACCTAATTAGTCATAGTATACACCACTTACCTGCGCGCCACCTGGCGCCTACACACAATGTCGTCAAAGAGGTTAACTGCTCCGATACCAAATTGCAATGAACCCAGATCGTGAAGACAATGTCAACAGTGTAAGTCCAAAATGTCGAACAGCTGATGATAGTCAATAATCAAACTTGTAGCCAGATACCCAATAGATGAGAAGACATACACAGACGAAGGAGGTGAGAGGGAGAAGAGATTGAGACAAGAGGGAGATAGACAGTGCCCACTT